CGATTTCAAAAATGAAAAATTTTTTTGTTAAATAATATTGTTATTAATTTGTTATTAAAAAATATAGTTTTAATTGTTAATTGTTAATCGGACATTTTCTTCTGGGCCAGATTGTATTTTTAATTCTTTTTTCTCCCGGAAAATTTGTCGACCATTTGCGCGATCATTGTAGTGGTATTTGTGTGGGATTGGACGAATCGAAAAATTGTTCACCTTTGTTGCGTGAAAGTAGTCGCCTGGTCTCGCGTAACAGATGATAAAACGTAGAACGATTCATTCATGAAATCTTGCGACACGCTCGATTACATAAAGGCGTCCGCAACAAATGGTTCGCATAGGTGAACTCGTTGTACGGTAGCTGCGCTATACACAGGGTGTTCCATTTATCCCCAACACTTCGATAACCACAGTGTCTTCGAAAGGCGGGAAAAAATTACTGTTACAAAGATTTACGGTTAAAAATTATTATTGTCAATGTTAAAATTCGATATGGACGCCCACAGATCGAAACCAGATCGTTATTTTTTATAAACAAAAGTTACTTGTGATTTTCTGATTTTAACAGTAAATTTTAAAGTAATTGATGATTTTAACAGAAACATTTTTGTTTAACTGTAAATTTAGTTAAAAACAACAAACTGAATTTGAATTAATATCGTTCAAGGTCAGAATTTAGTATAAATATGAAAATGAATCTACCATGCAATCAGTTGAGAAGAAAGTGAAATAAGAAAAAATGAAAAAATTTTATCGAGAAAAAAAGTAAGGTTCAGTACTTTTTGGTCACCCTGTGTATTTGATTTTCGAGAAACAAGTAAGGTCGAGTACTTTTTGGCCACCCTGTGTGTGATTGGGTCGGTGTTTTACCAAAAAAAGTTAGTGGTAACCAAAATAAAAAATAAGGTTCAGTACTTTCTGGCCACCCCGTATATTTGATTTTCGAGAACCAAGATCGGGTACTTTTCGACCACCCTGTGTTTGACTCGGCGTTTTACCAAACAAATTTAGTAATAACCAAAATAAAAAATAAGGTTCAGTACTTTCTGGTCACCCCGTGTGTTTCACTCAGCGTTTCTACCAAAAAATTTCTATGATTTATTACTATCTAATTCGTGTCAGGACATGGTACAAAAAGTATAGAAAACTATAGAAACGTAATCTGTATCTCGCGAAATATTATCGTATCAAAACGTGTAAAAATACAGAGAGGTGAGACAATTGTTGTATTATCTCGTTCCAGAATAACTATCGCGATCGTGGCACGTGAAACGTAAAAAAAGAAAAAAAAAAAATTCAACAACAATACCTGACACATCTGTTATCAGATAGAAGCCAATAGTACTATAAAACGATGTAATGTGGAACAGCTTGCAACATTCCGGCCAGAATTATCGCGAGAAGTAACAATGGTTATTAACTGAAATACAATCGCATTGAAAACAATAACTCCGCTCGTAACCTCCGTGCACCGACTGCCATAACTCTAGTTGCGTTAAATTCGACGTTACATCAGAACGGTTGTGCAACAATGGTCCGCGATGATGTCAAAAATTCTAATCGAAGTTATGTTATCGATACCAAGGCCATCGATTACTATTTTTACCGGTCGATCTGGCATTGACTTTATTAGAAACCTTCTTAACCTACATTTTGTTTTTTTTTGGATCGAACAGCCCATCTGGTTTGCTAGTAAATCAACAGGAAAATTAATATTACAAATGGGAACGAAAAGAAAAAATTAATTATTTAACAAAGAAAAGCAGCCTTGGATTAATTTTTTTTTAGCAATTAAAATTAGATTAAACTGGTCACTGTCGTAATTTTATTTACTTCGTTATTCTATATTTTAATACCGTTAATAACTCGTTAACAAACACTGAACTTAATTAGAAGCATTTTCAAGGTCAAATTAATCTCCTCTTTTTTAATTCGTTATAAAAATAAAATTAAGCGAAATTGCTTGAAAATCGTTTGGCTGGAAATTTACCCCCTCCCGACAAATCGTGTACCGCGAAATTATGCGTGTACGAGTTTTTGTACGAGAGTATGAATCGCCAATCGACCCGAAGATGACGACGATAAATACACAGCTGGACTTTTTGTCACGTTGATAGTAATTGAAGACTGTTAACGAGGTTGACTCTGTAATCATGACTTCGTGTCGTCGGGTTTTTTTAGTTTCGTCATCGAGCGAGTCGATTTTGCAAGACGTAGATTTATGGAGAGGCTAGGGATATTCCGTAAAATATCGTCTCGTTTCGAAACCGTAAATTAATTGACCATAACCGCCGCCAAACGCGTCCTCGAAAATATTCTACGAGTTTATTATCGTTTCCAGTCGTAAAATAAAATTTTCGAATTACGGTTCTTAAACGCGTTGAAAAAAATTAAATAAAATTTAAAAAAGTTGATCACGAACATTTAGGATGTTAACAAAATTAGTATCAGAAACTGATTCTAACCTCATAGTGACGTGTCCGTAAGAGCGTTCTTCGTTAACGATTTTCATCGAAAAGAATTAACTGACAAATATTGAAAATATTTATTTTCGAAGAGTAATTAGAAAAATTGTCGACTGTGACGGGAGAAAAATATATTCGTGCACGATACGATTATATCAACGGTACAGAAGTTGTGGACAATTAACTATGATCGATGAACCAATCAGTCGAACGACCAACAGTTAACGGTTACAAGACGTTAACTGCTTGGCGAGACAGCAATATGTGCATCAAGATTTCTTCAACCTGTTTCAATTGGTTCGAATTAACTCTCCGCACACACGCTGCATTCGGCCATTTTCTTTTTTTTTTTTCCCCCCACCATCGATTCGGTCCTTTTGCAAAACCCTCCTATTAAGATTTGTTAAATATATCCGACAAATTCGTCGGGGTGAATTAATCTCACTAACGAGGTTTTTAAAAAAATGTTCACGGTATGCAAACAGCCCGAGGGAACGAAAAAGTGAGCCATTTTGCAATTTCTTTCCGTAGATCGAGGTTACCTTGTCGACTAAATCTCGTTGTCTCACGATAGTTTTTAATTTTTCATATTTTTTCGATATTCAGTTCCACTTTCGATATTAAAAATTTTTAAATAAATTTCCTACGAGAAAGAAAATTTTTCCATAAATGAAAAATGAATTATGTACAAGATAACCTTACTTTTTTTTATAAAGACGAAATTTTAATTCGATAAGATTCAGATTAATTTAACAATCAAGTTTCATTTTCCGAGTAAACAAAATTTTTTTATTATGCAGTACATTTTTGTTGGAATTACCGATCCCACCGAGGCGTTAAATTATTCAAAATCTGTTATTCTGCCTGATTCATATTCGGTCTAAGCTTGCACGTCTGATTCATACGCTCATCCATCAAAACGTATTTGCATAATTTCTATAATTTTGTTCGATGAATATTCGATGATACATCTATCACGTTCGACTGAAATTTATGACTCAGGTGTTAAACGATGAAATCAACTCTGGTAAAAAGACATTAATTTACGATCGTACGGCGTCCATTACATAATTACCTCCGGGCTTTTATTTTGCAGTCGGTTCTTGCCCAATCCGTAAACAAAAATATCAAAATTATTCCTGTTTTCGAAAATGGATCTTCCATAGAAAAGTACAACAAAAAAAAATATTTACAAAATAATTTATTTTATTTCGATCTCTGAGTCCACGATTTTAATCATTGTTGTTATTTATTTATTTACGAGTGATTTACGGAAAATTTATTTCCGGAAAAAAAAATGGGATTCGTAATAATTTTCTTGGGTTTACGTTTCTAAGAGACGCGCTATACATCTATGCTCGCTATATAGGGAAAAGGTGGACGATAGCGATTCAGACGTTGGGAATGGAGACGAGGGGAAAAAGCAGCAGTATCTCAGCGAGGAAATTAGGAGACTCAGGGCCGTGGACGACGATAGCGCATTAATCATCACGAGAAGAGTTCGCCTGAAGCAGCTTTACGAGCGCGATGCTATCGAGCTAGAGAATTTGATACGCGCCTCGGGACACGCTTCCATTCCCACGCAACCTTGACCATTTTTATCGCATTTATTTCGTCCCTGTCGCGACCTTGGCGCCAACGAATCAACGGATTAAAATCACTTTCACGGCTTTCGATTTAAATACGTTCGTACCGAAACGTGAAACAAAAAACACTGGAACAAATATAGATTTTAAATTGGACTAACGAACGTTTGCATGTTTTATAAACGGTTCAAAGTGTTCCGCTGTCGCGCTTAATCAAAATTAATCCTTTGCGTTTCGAAGTGCGCCGAACGATGATTCGCCAATTGATCTGTTGTGTCGGTGTCGCTCGGAGCGATCAGTCGCGGCGCGCGCTTAGTCTTATTGCAATAATATTGCTGTTAAATCCAGCCAATACTCTGTCTCGTCGTTTTCTATATTCTCGAATACTTTCTATCGAAATTTTTTGAATAAATTTATAATTATATACAAAGAAATTAGTATAAATATAGAGGGTGTTCGATCAACCCTGGGAAAAATTTTAATGGGGGATTCTACAGGCAAAAATAAGACGAAAATCAAGAATACCAATTTGTTGATGGAGGCATCGTTAAAAAGTTATTAACAATTAAATTCCAAAATTTTTCAAATCGTTCTAATAAAATTATCTCCGGTTGCGGGAGTCAATTACAATAATTTTTGGTCATTACGCATAACCTCAAAATTCTACGCACTTGCGAGAAAAAAATTCCTTACCGAAAATCTAATTAGGTGCCCAAATTTTTCGACGAAAAAAAATGATTTCAAATCGTTCTGGAAAAATTATTTTCGGTTGCGGGGGTATATATGTTTCTAGTTTATTTTTGCTCGAACATGGAAACAATTTTATTAAAAAAATATAAATGCTAAGAAGACAACGAAGACAGCGGTATTCTAAGAATAAAAATTTAAAATAAAAATTTAAAAATCACTCGGTATTTTAACGAGTCGAATTAAAACGTCGAGGGATTGTCGGTAAAGACGATTTATTAAACGTTAAAGATACATATACGCACAGACGTCCATCGACGCGACATAAATAAAATATATAGATATATGTATATATCTTACATAAATGACGATGAGTGAAAATAGACTGATTATCCTTGCTTTGTTGGACTTTGGTAAAATAGTTCGTACCAAAAGGAAAAAGATAATATATACGGTAAAGGAAATTCTAATCGTTAATTGCATTCTAATCCTATTTACACTTCACGATAGGTATAACCAAGTCGCCATCTTGGATATCTCTCATCTCTTTCGCGCCTTAAATTTACAAAACTTCCCTACCACTCACTGTCGATAAATCAGCTGCGAATACTTTCTCAACGATCTCCCCCTAATTCCCCTCAAAAATTACTCAATGTTATCATCATTATTAATATTAACGTCAACGAAGAATATTTCATTTCTAAATTTTCGTAAACGATCAAACCGAACGGGGTTAAGCTATCGAAAAATATTTAAAACTAAGGGCTGCGTTCCCCTCGAGACAGAGGAATTAATTATTGTTCCCTAAAGTATTCAACGAGGATCACGAAATCAGTTTCGCTTAATAATTAAGTAGAATCAACGGATTCGGTTCCACAAGCATACCCGTCGATTTCCATGTTATGCTACGTACTTCCTATTGGACGGCATTTTACGGTACGGAGTTTTTTTTCTTTTTCTTTCTTTCCTTCGCCCAAGAAACTCGAATAAGTTTCCAAATTTCCAGTCCCCCCTCGAGGCTACGAAGTTCTCGAAAAGAGATTCTTTGGATTTTTCGTAGCCCCTCGACACCATTCGATATCCAAATTTAAGTGTATCGTACTTACACGCACGCGTAAGTCCAGAGTCGGGCGAAATGCTACTCGCGTTCGAGCAGGTAAATAAAATTATTATTAATTTAGTAACAATTTCGTTCGAGTAAACGCTCCGGAGCAATAGATTCATAAAATTATATCACAACGATATTGGTTATAAATTCTGTTAGAATCGTTATCGAATTACGTGGTTAAATTTATTGTTGTTACGCGTGAAAAATAATTGCTCGGTTGGCGGCGGTAATTTGAGAAATTTTCCAATTTCAAAAACATCGAGTTTCGACTTTGTTCGCTTTCGAGACAAATCTTTACGAATTTCATTCTATTCTTCTCGATCCATTCGATTCAACGCTGCACACAATTTTCACAAACTCACCCCAACTCTGATCAACATAAAGAAACAGACTCATGGAGTACCGCGTGGCTCGAAACGAGCAAGAGGAAAAGAAAATGGCGGCCACGGATATATCTGCAACATCGATCACAACCGTGCAATTTAATTTCCTCGGTGCTGAATTACGCGAAGGTTTGTTTCTAGGTGCAACGTCGTTATTAGGTGGTTATTAGACGAAAGAACCTTCGAGAGACAGTCGTAAATACGTAGAGTATGCAAAAGAAAAGACACTTCGTTATGCGTTATCGATAGACACCGAATTACAGTTCGCGCCGAACGAGTCCTCCGCGACGCGTCGCTCTAGATCACAGCGGCGATCGTTCGGTAAATTAACCTTACAACTTTCAGTCATTAATTCGTAAAGGACACTTACACGGTAAAACAAACGAATGTTTCCTTAATTGTACCTAGCGTTTCTCTTCTGCGTCGTTTCGTAATCTGAGATTTGTCGGGCTCTTTGGATATCCTCGTAATTGTAAAATTCTATACGAGCAACGTTGCTTCGAAAAGTATTTTAAATTTATAATTCGTCCTCGTCCCTATCTCCGTCAAGCCAATCGCGAAGGACACTTTTAAACGAAATTCGGAACGGACTCGGCTCGCTTCCTCGTCGCGATCAATTTCGTGTTAATTTTTAACGAGAAGCCAACATCCTCGCACGTCTCGCAGTCGATTCGAAATATATTCCTTCCGCCTTGTCTCGTCCACTTTCCCCCAACCGCTCGACCACGAAGGACACTTCGAATGTGAATCGATTCGACGCGAATGCCACCGATCGTACGGAATTAGTAATTTACAATCCACTGGAGGACGCTCGTGTCGTTTCCGCCAGTGGAGATTAATCGTGTGTCGTCTTGGAGGAACGACACGTTCGTAACGTGACTCGAGTGGCCGCCGTACGTGTGGCACAGGGACTGAAACAAACAAATTCACGCATTTCGATCACGTTCATCGCTTTTCACGCGACAGCAATTATACATCGACGCTTCTATCCACTACGCGGCTTGTTCCAACGATACAGAATATTTTATCCTTGTTTCGATAATCAAAATGTAATTGATTTTATATTTATTTTTAAATTCTTTTTAGAGAAAAAATGTAACTGAAATTCTTTGCTAAGAATAAATAAAAATTTAAATATAGAATCGAATGAACGTTATAGAAAAAAATTTGGAACATTCCTAGCAAACGGACCGTTCACCGATAGGGGGCGTGTTATACGTCATTCGATTCGTCTAATTCAGTACATTATTAATATGCATTTCATTACTTAACCTTACTTTTTTACTGTAACTTTGCAACCAGTTTACAAAAAAATAACGAATTTCCGCGGATAATGAAATGCATACCAATAATGTACTGAATTAGACGAATCGAACGACGTATAACTCACCCCGATCGGTGAACGGAATATACCAAAAATTTTTATAGGTTATACGTGGGTTATTTATTATACGAATTGAATTTTTTCTATCTCTGAACGATGATATACTAATTACCTTAGGCTGGCACGCTGGGTACGAGAACAATTTTACTTTTCCAAAGTCGTCTCCTGTTGCCAGAAGCTTCGAGTCGCTGCTGCGAGAACAATTGTTAATGTCGGTCCCGTCTGCACCCTCGGGCCATATTCCAATCGTTTCGAATGATATTATGCAAGTGTGGCTCGCCCATTCTATGTCCCTCAACGTGGAGGGCTGTGGAATTTGACGACAGACCCCGGGATTCCCTGCAACAATTTTTAAACGATCAGCCTCGATCTTAATATCTTTCAACCTCTTAGAGGTTATGTCGTCTCCCTGAACGACACGCCTCTACAGTTCGCTCACTCTGATTCGCGTTGAACAGAAAAGCTGTCGTACAGAGAAACTCAACCGTGCGTAAGAGGTTAATTTTCATGACAAATAAGTGTCAATTCACTTACAATATAGGAGCTCATAGTCCCCGCTGTTGCTTCGTAAATATTGCCCGTCCGTTGACCAGTCCACGTGAGTTATGAAACTCGAGTGACCCTGAAATGCAAATCAATGTTTAAATCGAGGAATAAACGCCACTTTTTGCAACTACGTACGCTTCGTTGCTAGCTAAGTTTATTTCTGTGTCGCGAGAAAGAAAGAAAAATGAGGTTATGAATCGAATGAATCTGCAGCCACCGCCATGACAGAAGTGCTAACCATTTTGTGCAAACAACGACTACCATGCGTGCTCGCGGGAAGCGATCTTCAAACAAAAACTTATCAGCCTGTATGTGTTTACTATAAATGACTATGACGATATTGCATCAGTTTCAGAGACAGTATATCGTTGACGTAATGATATTTTTTTTTGTAAATTATTTTTGACGTAGTATTTTCAATTTGTAATTTCGATTTCATTTTTAAACAATAGCATTTCATCGCGTAACATAGTGTCTCCTTTTCGTTGTTGAGCAACCAAAAACATATGTCTTACTCTACGTCTTCGTATCCGCTTCGGCTAGAAATGAAGAAAAGAAGTGTGAGTAGTATTTGTGGTTATGATTCGGGTTTATACTAAGCAACATTGATAATTTCGTTTTGCAATTATATCTTATCGAGGGCTAGCGGAGACTTCTTGTTCGATGTGTTTAAACATTTATAAAAATAACTTTTTATAATTCGTATCGAATTGCCTCATGCATATATTTCGTTATAAATTTTCTTTCGTAATTAATTTAATAATAACAAATCTATATACGAACATACATGCTTCTACAACAGACTGATGTTCAGTTGATTCGTATTATTGAGAAATTTGAAAAAAATTTTAGGTTATCCTTGATTATATTGCTCTCGTAAATAATCGATAAAATCATTGAGAAGATATTTTTGTTACTTTCATACGATGCAATAATAATGTTGCAGCATGCTTGTATAACTCCATCGATTTTTATCACTTCCATAAAAACTATGAACGTCGACGATTAAACACCACAAGTTATTATAATATGATACATATAAGCGAATTGTACAGCGAAATTTGTATTTTCAATAATTTAATACTGGTATGTACTGAACGCTACATTGTGTTTTGTGAATTATATTTGCACAGAGTGCGATGGAATTCATCGTGCAACTTTTAATGTAATGATTTTTTTAGAGAGAATGCTATTTTTGCAAAAATTAACTGTGATATATCTGTGAAGAGAACTAGTTAAGGAGGTAAAGTCAGATGGTTATAAATGTGCTTCGAATTAAATTCAGTTGCACGATGATTCCAATAACATTTTGCGCCAGATAAATTCGAGTTAGATATTTGTAATTTTTAAGACAATCTTACCATACATCGGCCGACTCGACTATACTTGGTTGCGTCCCCGTTCACTTGATAAATATAAATGCAATTATCTCTGGAACCAAGTGCCAAAAGCGTGCCGTCTGGTGAAAATCGTAGAACCTAAAAATTAATCATAAAAAAGTTTGTAATTTCTTGATGCATACAGGGTGTTCGGTCAACCCAGGGAAAAATTTTAATGGGAGATTCTAGAGGCCAAAATAAGACGAAAATCAAGAATACCAATTTGTTGATGGAAGCTTCATTAAAAAGTTATTAACGTTTAAAGTTCTACCCGTTCTGAATTTTTTTTCTCGAAAATGCGCAGGTTTTCGGGGGTATGTCTATTCACCAAAAATGATTGAAATTGATCTCCACAAGCAAAAATAATTTTTCCAAAACGATTTGAAATTTTTTTTCCCGTCGAAAAATTTTACACATTCTCGAATTTTTTTCTAGAAAGTGGGTAGGATTTCGGGGGTATGTCTATTCACCAAAAATGATTGTAATCGACCCTCGTAACCGAAAATAATTTTTCCAGAATGATTCGAAATTTTTTTTTTCCGTCGAAAAATTTCACACCTTTTCGAATTTTTTTCTAGAAAGTGGGTAGGATTTCGGGGGTATGTCTATTCACCAAAAATGATTGTAATCGACCCTCGTAACTAAAAATAATTTTTCCAGAACGATTTGAAATTATTGAATTTAATTGTTAATAACTTTTTAACGAAACCTCCATCAACAAATAGGTATTCTTAATTTTCGTCTTATTTTGGCCTCTAGAATCTCCCATTATAATTTTTCCCATGGGTGGTCGAACACCCTGTACAAGTATACCGAAACAAATTTTAGGTTATGTAGCTTACAATGGTTTAAAATCAATATTTTACATTGAATCTCGACACTTAAAAATTGACATACCTGAATAGGTTCCAATCCATCGCTATGGTGAGTGTACAATTCTCGAGTTTCACTGTCGATCGCCAGCCATTTTCCGGATGTGCATCCAACCACCATCACGTTACCATCTGGCGAGAACCCAATGCTTTGTGCTTGCTCCTAAATAAAATTCTTTTGTTAACTTTCGTCCATTTAGAAAACATTGTAAAAACAAGTCAGATACAATTGACAATAAAAAATGTTTCATCCACCAAATGGTGATTATCTAGAAAAATAATACGTTTCAAATGCAACAAATTTTGCAATAATAATTTTCACTGACCCCAATGTCTTTGCTCCAAACAACGGTGTGACTGAGACTGTCCCACATTTGCAACAGCCTATCGTGGCCAGCCGTGGCGAATTGTGGCAACGTCGGATGGGCAGCAAGGCCCCAAACCTCCTCAGTGTGCCCCAACATGGCTGGATTGAATCCCATCCCCACGTCGCCGACCAAAATGCAATTTCTCGTTGTACCGATCAACAATTGAGAACCCCTGCCCTCTGCTAGGGTCCTGATGCCCCCAAAATGGTCCTCGATCTGAATATTATAACATAAATAAAATAAAAATATGGAAATAGTTAAAAAATTAAAATCTAATATTCTACAGAGCCTCACTTGTGCTTCTTCTCCCGTCAAATTTAACGACTCGTCGAAATACAATATTTTCCCATCTTTACCACCGCCGGTGACGATAAAACCGTCCTTCAAAACGCAGATCGAGAATATGGACCCCTCGTGGATGTTCCTCACCAGCTTCGAGATTGTATTTGTACCTGCAGAAAAAAGATAAATTAATATTAAAATAAATCTATGTTTGATTTGGTTTGATCAAGTTTGAACAACCTTAGAATATCATATATGATTAATTATTTTATCAAAAATTATTTTTGGAAGCTCAGATGAGCCATTTGATTAAGTTTGACTAAGTTTGAGCAACCTTAGAATATCATATACGATTAACTATTCCATCAAAAATTACTTCTGGAAAGCTAGGATGAGCTAATCAATATATATGTTTGATCATGTTTGACTCTGTCTTAACATGTTTGATAATAAAAAACATAGAAAAAAACGCAAAATAAAATCGTAGGATATCATTAATAATGGGATGTGAGAAAGGGGATGAAAAATATTTGCTTACCTCTGCCCCAGACGATGATGTTACCGTTACTGTCGCCAGTAAGAACGTCGCCATTTTGGTTGAAAGCCACGCAGGTTACGTATCTCGGTTTCTCCCTGCTCTCGAAAATCCCCATTCGTTTGTACAGCATACCGCCGTTGTCGAGGGACCAAAAGGACACGTGTCCCTTTCCGCAGGACACGATTTGATTCCGTTCCAACGGATGCCACTCCGCGCACACCACCGTGTCGACGGAACACTAAAATTAATATCCTTTCATTGTTTCCAGTCGGGAAATACACTGACAGAATTTGAAATATAAAAATCGACACAACGGACGTTACTAAAAAATTATAATTGTCTCTTCTTCCGTTTCATACAACCAGAAATTAAATATTGTAATTTTATTTATTTATTTATTTAATTGAAACGTACCTTCGTTTCGGTCACCTTGGTACCCCGTTCGCCCTTTTGCCAATCCCAGATCGATATATTGTGATCGGAAGTTTCGTCAATCGCGCATAAATAATTTCCACCGTCCGCCTTCGAGAACGAGAGACAACAAATGGACCCGTCGAACCCTCCGTTGCCAATCACGCACAGGGTGGTCAGGCTCACCGAATTCCATATTCTAATATGCGGCTGAGATAAATTTTCAACGTCACGGTTTAATTATTTTTTCATTTTATCGTAAATGTTTGTTAATTATTTTGTTTATATTTTATGTACCATGGCGTCTCGTCTGTCGGTTCCGCACACTTGGCCTGTAGCGACCACCAGCTTGTTCGGATGAATTGCTATGCTGAAATACAGTGCAAAATAACATAGATACTTAAAAAAAAAATCTGTCATTATAAATTTCTCGGTAAATAAAAATTCAAATTATAGAATCAAATGTCTCTCGACGAACAGTATCTTAATTTCTGAAATTATAGTCGACGTAATCCCAGAGCAATTGCACTTACGCAATCTAGTAAAAAAGTATAAGATCCATCAAGATGTTTCAACGAATTTACATAAAACATGATTACTTAATCAGTATATAATTTTAGTTTCGCGTTATAGCTTCCTGTCGCCCGACATTCATATTTAATTTTTTTCGATCAAAAATTACTTCTGGGAAGCTTGGACGAGCCATCGATCTATGTTTGATTAAGTTTGATTAAGTTTGAGGGATCATAGAATATCATATACGATTGATTATTCCATCAAAAATTACCTTTGGAAGCTTAAATGAGCCATTTGATTAAGTTTGACTGTTTCAATTTTTTTTTTTTCTTAAAGTGAATGAAATAAATTTACTGGATATTCTACCATTTTATAGTATTCGATTTTCCTTATTTCATAAATTAACATTCTGTTCGTTAAATGATAAAAAAAAAGAGAAAGCGCGAGACGAGAGCCCGCGACCCACCATTTTATATCGTCCGTGTGGCCCAAGTAGTGCCTCTGACTGTGCTCCTCCATATTGTACAGGACCACCACCGCGGCGACGAAATAAACGATTTCCCCGGTCGGCAGTAGGTGCAGATTACTTCGACAGTCCCTACCCCGGTAACCATAAACCCAATCGAGCTTCAATTTGCTCTGTGGCGGTGTGCTGACTTTGTGAAGATCGTAAGACTCCATTAATGGCGTCGGAACGTACAGGACGACGGGTCGTCCCCGTAGGTACATACGTACGGTGCTTTCCTCCTCGTTGTACTGCATGTCTCTGGTGCTGTGAACGACAGAAACCAAGTCTAATCTTTCCTAAACGCCTTCCTTGCCCTATCAAACCCGTACGATAGTCAGCAAGACTTAAAATTTGATTTTAGACCATTGTAAATACTACATAACCTAAAATTTGTTTACTTATTCCTGTAACCTTGCTAAAATTCGCGTATTCTATTCAAACTTATTTTCTTCGATGTCTCGACTCGAGAATTAATTTTTCCAGTGACAAATCATGTCAGTCAAAGTGTTAATAACAGTATGGTTAAATACACCCATGAAATGTTGTCCCAGAGGACTCCTGGGATCCATGCAAACTCTTTCAGAGTTCTCAAAGTTTCGTTTTGGATAAAGAATCTTATAGCGGATAAAATTTTCAATAAAATAATCAAAAAGAATATAGTGAAATTTAGATTTGGATCAAAATTGACCCCAGAGTCCGTTACTCGAGGGTTAAGAAACAGGTTATACACTGCGCAGAGCTGGAAAGATGATTAACAGAATGGCGAAGAAATTTTTTGCCGATAATCGACTTTGAGAATGTATTGGACACAAGTACAATAGAGGACAATTATTAGCATAAACAGAATATCAATAAACGAAGAATTATACAAATTAATTTTACTGCAATACATTATCGATCTTTTCGATGTAAATACAAGATTCATGAAATTACGAAATAACATTTATTTCATATTACATCCGTGTATACAATTAAACAATTAACGTGATCTCGATTATTCAAGTTGCTATGCGAATTACATACTTTTCTTGATCGTGAGCCAGCTAGTTTCGAAGCACAAATTAAAAACCGACAGAACGATCAACTATCGATATCACAGTCACTTGACACACGAGCAAACTTAATATTTCCACGGTCGACACTTTGCAACAACACTTTCGACGCGTATTCAGTCCCGGTTTATCAGCTTCCGGTGTCGAGAGCCGTCGCGACACGCTCGCTGCGTCCACGTTCGGGCACCTGACGCTCGAACACAAATTTCGAATTTATCGACTCGTACGTTCGAGACAAAAATCGTTGGTGATTGTCGAACGTATTTCGTTCGGCTATCGCGAACGGTTGCACGTATTGACACACACGGCTGAAGTCGTTGCGACGATCTGCTCTCGAAACCGACGAAGAATGACTCACGCGAGCCAGCGTCCGCTTTTATTACTCGACGAACCACACAGTTTTGCGCGTTACCGCGTTACGTCACTTTTACGTTCCTTTTTGCAGCGCGTCTGCCTCTCCTCGGCTGGATTACGATCAAGGACTGACCCCGACTCCTCCAGACACGAAATACGAACCGCTCGAAAAAAAAAAAGAAGAAACAAACCTTGCCTGGAGTTGCTCGTTTCGTAAACAAGCCGGTACGCCGTGTCTCTTTCGAGGTGACCGTGAAAAGCAGATAACGACCAACATTGGGGACAGTGGGACGCCTCTGCATCCACGGTTTTACGAATTAAATTATCCACGCGCGTTTAATATATTTTCAGACGAATTTCTTCCGATTACAATTTTTGTTAAAAAATAAAAAAAAAAAAACTAAAAATATTTTTAAAAGGGTTAAAAGTATTTTTATTCACAGATTTAATTTGACAAATGGGGCACTCAAAACTACTTGTTTTTTCGTGCGTACTTTCAGGAAGATTGGAGATATTTAGTGCTCGTACACGTTGATATAGCGACATTTACGATCAAGCGAAACGTACCAACACTCTCGCTGGTAATAAAAATCTCTTTTCAGGGATCACCTTTCGTATTCGAGTGAAATGTTTGTCATCCCGTGTAAGTTGATTTCTTCCTCTAATTTACTCTCATCCGCCATTTGTTTTCCCTTTACGGCGGTTTGAAATATTTGTTTCCCACACCGACATAACCTGTTCGTCCCAAGCACATTGTCCGACCTTTCTCTTAATTGATTATAAATTACTCTCGCCTCTTTCTCTTGGAAAGTTTGCACTTTATCCGTCATTTGAACAATTCGTATTTTTAATTTACGTATTTAAAAAAATATTATTTAAACACGTTCCTCGATCGGAACGGTATTAATTACGGGTGATACAATCTCGAGATAGTCTCTGTCGTTCGAGTATCTTTTTTTTATATGAAAACAGTCTTCGAGCGGTGGGTCTTAATTAAGTAAATGTATAAAGTTACGCGTACTAAAGTGCATCGTGCGCGTTCGAGTGGCACTAAGAATTTTTTGATCGTAAAAGTAAATCGGTAAAGCGTGAATAAAATCTTTCGTCCTGCTCGGGCTCTTTTTGCCGGCCGTCTAAGATCAGCTGGAAACAACGTGTACCAGGAAACCAAAGGGGGAGAGGGAGGGAGGGAGGAGAATTCACGGTTGTATAACTGCAAGAATCGCAATTCACTTTCTTCGGGAACGCGACGGCGCGCCTCGTTCCGCGCTAAATGAGCCATTATCCACGCGAGTTTCGTACCCCGGGCTCCCTTGATACCGTGTTTTAAAGTAAAACGTTCCCCGCATTATCGCGTACCAATCTACAGGATGACAACATTTTGCTCTTTTTATGCACGCCGCCCGTCCCCTTTCGTTTCGCGGCGCGATTTTAACGCGTGGTTTCGCGTGATTCCCCGCAGTTGCGAGCCGAATACCGGTTTCCCTGCTCGTGTCTTCGTTTAACGCGGAATTTACAATTGCATTCTTAGCGTCGACCTTTAATCCACAGCCAACCCAACGTGATCTTGTTATCAAATTCCACATATTTAACCCTACCCAACGGACATTTTTCACTGGGACAGCTGCCCCCAATAAAATAGCGCCATCTTTGGAAATCAGCTCGAACGATCTTATCACCGATCTCCTTACATTCTTCTCTGCTAATGCTGCATTCGATTAATTATAATAAATAAATCTTTCTGTTCGAAAGAATTATTTATCTTTAATATCGTAAACTACTTAACCTAAAATTTTGATTTTAGACTAGCGTAAAATACATAACCTAACATTTTGATTTTAGACTATCGTAAACTACATAACCTAAAATTTTGATTTGAGATCTTCGTAAACTACATAACCTAAAATTTTGATTTAAGACTATCGTAATCTATATAACCTAAAAGTTTGATTTTAGATCTTTGTGAACTACATAAACTAAAATTTTGATTTTAGACTATCGTAAACTACATAACCTGAAAGTTTGATTTCATTGTAAACTACATAATCTAAAATGTGTTACACAAATTCCCACCATCTTTCAACTTGAGAATTAATTTTTCTAGTTCCCCAGTTGTAAATCTTGCTCTCTCTTCTGTAACATTTAATTTAGCATAAAGGATAAGATTGTAATTTGTATCGAATCTAGTATTCCGAGGGAAAACAAAGAACTATTCCTTTTCAAAGTGGGTCTCGAGGGTCCGATGCAGGCGAGTCGGGAACGCGAAACAAGATTTTCCTTTTGCGAGCGGAAAAAAAGAAAGCCGCGTTCACGTTCGCGTGCTCCAAATAAGCGCGCGTAATTTAAAATTGAAATGGGTCTTTCACGCTTCCCGCGCGGATCCATTATGCATGCACGTGTTTCTCGATTCCATTTCGCGGAGGTGAGTTCATCATACGGCAGGAATCTTGTGCGTCCGCATGCGAGGTCGAATGCCGAAGGTAACTCTTATTATGGTAATTAACAGCATGCTATGCGGCTGTAACACGTATCGTGTCGTTTCGATTTCATTGTCAGTGCAAGGCACGGTTCCTTTCGCCCTCCATCGATTCGCAAATGCTATTCCCAGAAACGGAGAAACTAATTTTTTACCACTAAAATTATACAAAAATTATTTATTTCATGTTTCCGTCTTTCAATATTCTAATTCATTTCTGTGAAAAAATGTTTACCCAGAAACTATTTCTTTATTTTACAATAAACTAGAATATTGAAATTTGACGAATAAAATAAAATAAATAGTTTTTGTGATTTTTAATATTGCACTTTGGGATTATAAAATGTGTAGATGTGTTTATTAAAGGGTAAATTAATTTAAGTGGTATGTTATAAATTAAGAAAAAAATAGGGGTTAAATGTTTGTTAAAAATGGGTGTTTGCTTTTATGTTGCTATTTTTACACGTTTTTTTTTAAATAGATTCTTCCTTTTTTTAGATAGAAACTTTTCATTTTATGTATAACAGCGAGAAATGAACTTCCTCCACTTTTTTACCCCTAGAAATTACAAACAGAAACAGAGATATTAAAGATTCAAAAAAATGTCAGTCGAAGCGATTAAAATACAGAAAAGAAATTTCCTCGATATAAGGGGTGGGAATTCACCCCTAAAAAAATTAGAAAAAAATCCAAAATTCTCGAATCCTACCCCTGGAAACAGAAATACAAAAGTCTCCTTTTTCAAAGTTTCAACGAAATCTCAATTATAAATAGAGATTGTGGCGGCCAAGGCACCACATACGCCTTAGCCGTTCGAAGCCGCTACAATGTATGGTTGCACACGAGACGATGGTTGCACACGAGACGATGGTTGCACACGAGACGACCAGAGCCGCGTGAGCCGAAAAGCCGTTGTCGTCGTCTCTGACCGTCTTTTGTTTTTGAAGGCCTCTTGGTACGGTGGCGATGATCGTACCAGAGAGTCGAGCGTAACCCGCACCACGAGTCACGTCGTTGTACGACAGCAACAATACAATTGTGCGGAACGGAACAGAGCGGAGTCATTATCTTCCCGATCCCACATTGGTGACCCCGACGTGATCTCGCCGCGCAAGTAAAGTTTTTTTAAGAAAATTTGGACATTTTTCGTATACGGACAATATTAGTTAGGGTAGAGAAATAAGTGTATAGTGTTAAGGACATAAGAAAAGGACACGGTCTGACAAATAGTAAGCGCGGTGTGTGTGTGCGGTGAAACTATTTTTTTTTGTGACCAAGACTGGTAAAATGACTGACCCTAACGTTAACGCAGGGACATCCGCGGGTGTGCCGTTGGCAGTTGATCGCGTCGCTGTACGGATACCCGAGTTTTGTCCGGGAGACCCGGAGATGTGGTTTTCAATGGTAGAGAGAAGTTTTGAGGTATCCAATGTAACGTCGGAGACCACGAAATTCGGGTACATTCTCGGCGCGTTAAGTGCGCGACACGCCGCGGAAGTAAGAGACATTATCATGAATCCCCCGGCCGCGGATCCGTACACGACGCTAAAAAATGAGTTCATTCGCCGGCTTAGTGCGTCGCAGGAACAGAAAACGCGGCGGTTATTGGAACACGAGGAAATCGGGGACAGAAAACCGTCCCAATTTCTTCGTCACCTGCGCGGATTGGCCGGTACGGCTTTTTCGGACGGTGTATTGCGGACGCTTTGGATGGGCCGACTACCTGCTAATATGCAGGTGATTTTAGCCACGCAGCGGGACACCCCGCTGGATAAGGTGGCAGAGTTGGCAGACGCTGTTGCGGATACGATGACACCGCGGGTACACGTCACGGAGGCCGCGATTACGAGCGTATCTGCATCCTGCCAAATACCCCCGCCGGGCCCGAGCATCGAGGCCATGTTAAACATTAAGATGTCACAATTGGCTCTTTCCTTGAGGCAGGAAATTTCTGCCATCCGTGAATCCTTGGTGGACCAGGGGCAATCTTCCCGTCGCAGGTGGACCCACCGAAATCATCCAAACTCGCGCTACCGCAGACGATCTCTATCGCGATCGCGAGAGCGGCCCGCGGGAGGACAAATGGACCATCAAGGGAAATGCTGGTACCATTGGCGGTTCGGTCCGGCCGCGCAGAGGTGCGTTGCACCGTGCAATTGGAACGCCACGGATCAGGGAAACGACCTGGGGAGTCGTTGATGGCGGCCAGCGACACAAATCCAGCATCACGCCGCCTCTTCATCTTAGACAACAGCTCGAAGACGGAATTTTTAGTGGATACCGGGGCCGATTTGTGCGTTTTTCCGCGCCGCCTGCTAGGCGGATTGCGAGAAAGATCGGAGTACCAGCTGGCGGCGGCGAATGGGAGTGTAATTAACACCTACGGGACAGTGTCGTTAAACCTGCACCTCGGCCTACGACGGGATTTCGTGTGGCGATTCGTGGTTGCGGATGTTACAAAACCCATAATCGGGGTAGACTTTCTCGATCACTTCGATCTTATGGTGGACATCCGCAATCGTCGCCTCGTCGATCGGACCACGTCGTTAACGGTCCGCGGAACACGAGCCGAGGATGAAACGCCGTCGGTGAAGACAGTAGCAGGGACTACCGTTTACCACCAGCTCCTGATGCAGATGCCGGAACTTACACGGCCTAGCGGCACCCCGATGAGGACTACGCACCAAACGGTGCATTACATCGAGACAACCCCTGGACCACCCGTTTCCAGCAAGCCGCGGCGGCTTGCACCGGACCGGCTCAGGGCTGCCCAGAAGGAGTTCGACGCGATGGTGAAGATGGGCATCGCTTGTCCTTCGAAGAGCGCGTGGTCAGCACCCCTTCATATGGTTCCGAAGAAGGGCGAAGAAGCTTGGAGGCCTTGCGGTGACTATAGAGCGTTAAACGCACGGACAATTCCCGACCGATACCCCGTGCGTCACATTGAGGATTTTGCGCAACAACTGAGTGGCAAAAAGGTATTTTCCACAATAGATCTCGTCCGAGCTTATAATCAGATTCCGGTTGCGTCGGAAGACGTCGGAAAAACGGCCATTACAACGCCGTTTGGGCTTTTTGAATTCCCGTACATGTCGTTCGGGTTACGAAATGCCGCGCAAACATTTCAGCGCTTTATCGACGAAATTTTACGCGGTTTCGATTTTTGTTACGCGTATATAGACGACATTTTGGTCGCCTCAGAATCCCAAGCCGATCACCTGCGCCATTTAGAATTATTATTTAAACGATTAAAAGATTATGGCATTGTTGTTAATCCGAATAAATGCACGTTCGGACAGGAAGAAGTTAAATTTCTAGGCTATCGGGTAAATGAAAGCGGCACTCAACCTTTGCCCGGCAAGGTACAAGCCATAAAGTCATTTCCCCTTCCGAAAAACGCGAAGGATTTGAGGCAGTACTTGGGAATGCTTAATTTTTACCGCCGTTTTATCCCAGATGCCGCTCGCTTTCAAGCACCCTTGAACGACCTTCTAGCCGGCAATTTAAAGGGCAAGACCCCGATAGCCTGGACTTCGGAAGCGCGTCAGGCTTTCGAAAATACCAAAAATAGTTTAGCAAACGCAACCCTGCTTTCTCATCCTGCGGTCAACGCTCCATTGTCGGTTACCTGCGATGCTTCTGATTACACCGTAGGAGCTGTTTTACATCAGTGCGTCGGCAACGAACGACAACCATTAGCATTCTTTTCTAAGAAATTAGGATCTGCCGAAAAGAAGTATTCAGCTTACGACCGGGAACTACTTTCTATCTATTTAGCAATAAAACATTTCAAACATATGCTCGAAGGCAGACATTTCACGATTTTTACAGACCATAAACCCATAACTTTCGCTTTCAAACAGAAATTAGATAAATGCTCTCCTCGACAATTCCGATACCTAGATTACATTGCGCAATTCTCTACAGATATTCAACATATTTCCGGTAAAGACAACGTCGTTGCCGATGCACTGTCCAGAGTGGAAACGGTTAACCACTCGATTAATTTCGAAGAATTGGCAAAATCGCAAGCCCAGGATGAGGAGTTGCAGCGGTTGTTGAATAGCGAATCTAGCCTGCAATTACGCAAAGTCTCGTTGCCTGGCACGTCTTCCGAAATTTTTTGCGATATTTCGACTAAGAATGTAAGACCTTATGTCACCCCTCCTTTCCGACGCGCAGTTTTTAATATGTTACATGTATTATCACATCCAGGTATTAACGCGACGATCAAGCTCATAACGCAACGTTATGTTTGGCCGTCGATTAAAAGAGATGTTCGCACGTGGACACGTTGCTGTATACCGTGCCAAAGATCAAAAATTTCCCGTCATGTGACTGCACCATTGGCTACATTTGTTAAACCTTCTGCGCGATTCGAACACATTCATTTAGACATAGTAATTTTACCGGTGTCCGAAGGTTTCAGGTATTGTCTGACCTGTGTAGACAGATATATGCGGTGGCCGGAAGCCTTCCCCATGGTCGATCAGGAGGCCCAAACCGTAGCTCGAACCTTTTATGACGGTTGGGTAGCGCGGTTTGGTGCTCCCGTACGGATTACCACCGATCAGGGTAGGCAGTTCGAATCCAAATTATTTTTTGCGCTGAACAATTTAATTGGATCCACACGCCTTCGCACAACGGCGTATCACCCAGCGGCCAATGGGATGGTAGAGCGTTTTCACCGACAGCTCAAGTCGGCTATAAGGTGCCACGGATCCGACAGGTGGACAGAAATACTTCCGACGGTTCTACTCGGTATTCGTTCCGCCTGGAAAGAAGACCTCGGCGCTACCTCAGCGGAATTAGTTTATGGCGAGCCATTAAGATTACCGGGAGAGTTCTTGTCTTCGCATTCAGCGGAAGGCACAGAAAATGCTTCCGATTTTACTAATAGACTACGGAACCATTTTTCTAAATTGAGTCCCTCTAATGCATCACGCCATTCCGTTAATCGTACATTCGTTTTCAAAGATCTTAGCAGTTCAACACATGTTTTCATCCGAACAGATTCAGCCAAAACTATTTTACAACCCGCTTATGAAGGTCCATACGCCGTAGTGCGCCGAGGCGAAAAAACATTTACAATAAACATTAGAGGTAAGGAAATAAATATATCAATTGAAAGGCTAAAGCCTGCTTATATGCTAGCAGAAAACAGACCGGATCCCGTGAGCATAGAAAATCAGCCGGTCACACAAACAAACGTACCTGACAATGCGCCGGTTATACAGCAACGTGTCACGCGTTCAGGTAGACGCGTACGTTTTCCCGAGCGATTTCAAATTACGCGGTAGTACTTAAGGCTTGCGCATTATTATAATAAGTATCATATACCATTTATTTTTTTCCATCACTTTTATGTACTTTCATGTATTTTTAGGTATTACGTATTATATATTAAACTCCATGTAAATTCCTTTTTTTTTCAACTCTGTTCAAATACTGTAATGTAAATCTTAGTTAGGATAACGTATTTTATATAATAGAGTAAATGGTAGTGGTAATGTAGTCGGTCAATTTTTCGTAATTGTGCCAATTACTGGCAGGGGGGTAGTGTGGCGGCCAAGGCACCACATACGCCTTAGCCGTTCGAAGCCGCTACAATGTATGGTTGCACACGAGACGATGGTTGCACACGAGACGATGGTTGCACACGAGACGACCAGAGCCGCGTGAGCCGAAAAGCCGTTGTCGTCGTCTCTGACCGTCTTTTGTTTTTGAAGGCCTCTTGGTACGGTGGCGATGATCGTACCAGAGAGTCGAGCGTAACCCGCACCACGAGTCACGTCGTTGTACGACAGCAACAATACAATTGTGCGGAACGGAACAGAGCGGAGTCATTATCTTCCCGATCCCACAAGATTAAAGAAATCAAAATTTTCAAATCACTCGAAGCGATTAAAATTTGTAAAATAAATTTTCTCGGACCAAGGGGTGGGGATTCACCCTCAAAGCCTCACCCTCGCGTCCTTGAGTGATGTCTTACCATTCTACCCACCGGTGTAATTCGTATCACACATACACGCACATACACACACACACACGTGCCTAAAAAAAGACGAAGAAAATAGAAAATTGAGCACTCGCCTCGCAAGTGGGTAAATAAGTACATTCGAAAGTTGGTAAATTGCACACGTGGTGGATGCACGTGCTCGGCGCACGTGGTTCGTTCGCGGAAGGGTCCCGTGTGTAAAAATCGAATAATGCGAAAAATACGTCTTTATTTACCCGTGTTTCATGTTGTTCAGCGCTGGTGGCTTGAAGAGGTTGAAGAGAGACTTGGTGGATGCTGACAATCTATAATGAACGAAAATGCAAACGAAAACCATGCGGTGCAAAAACAAACAAACAGAGAATAAAAATAGAGCAGAAAAATGAACGAGGCAGGAATGGAAAGAAAAACAGCGCGTCGCGTCGAACGTGTTGATTTTCCGTGCGATTTGCAACGTTCTCCTACGCGACGAGGGGAATTGCGCGCTTCCGTTCGCGTTCTCACGATTCAGTTGACTTTAAAGGGAAGCTACGGCTGTGCCTGGCAAGTGGAAACCAACCGGGAGACAGTTGCTCGCTTTTGACGATTAATGAGCTGTGAATTCAGGAAGCGAATTCCGCGTCGGTGTACATCGTCAATAGTTAGGTCTGGGTTAGGTTCGTTGCTCTGCTCGGCCGTGTCGATCCGTCGGACTTGGAACGCGAAAACGTAAGGTATTTATTCAAAAATAAACGAAACCAACAACACGTTTCTGTTCGAAAAAAAGAAAATAATTTATATATTATTATTTAAATAAAAAGATTCGTTTAAAAATTTTGTAAAAATTCAACCACACCGTGGACACTCGACTAAATCGATACAAAAAATTTCAAAAACTTTTCATCGATTGGTTTCTCAAAAATCTTTTCGAAAGTCTGCTTTTGGACACAGAATATAATTCCACGTCAATTCCAATGTACACCGCCGAATTAAAAAATTTCTAAACTCCTCAAGATGAATTATTCGCGCTCGAAAAAATTACCACGGCTCGGCGAAAGTTGGACGAACGCACGTGCAAAGTTCGAGATCGATGGGTCTGAAGGTTAGGTCGGTAAAAAATCTTACGCGTCAGCCAGTTTTTTTTGGCCCTCTCCGGTAGTCACGGTTCGTTGAGAGTCTCGGGTGTCGGGCACACGTTCGACGTCCGCGCGACGTAAAGGAACGTTTTAAAACAAGCGAAAAGTGCACCGAAGAGAGGCACGAGTCTGTGCGTGAATCACGAAAGCAGCCAAAAAGTGCACTCGCTTTAAAGGATAACGGATTCTCTGCTCACCTGCTACTGACAAGCTGCGAATTGCTTCCCTGATTTTGCGGCGAGTGCGTAAAGTCCCCCGTCGACGACCACCGTTTCGCCCTTCTTAAGCTGCTTTGAGGCGGCCCGTTTGATCTTGCTGTCGGTGATCTATCGAATAACAGGATTACTATGTGACGAGAAAGCTTGTTACCTGCGTTGCAGAACTCCCGCTTCGTCGGGCCGAGGTTCAATTACGCAGTTGAACGAAGCCTCGGTTCGTGACGCGTAAATCTCCTCCAATTTCTTTACAACATCGACGTTTTAATAGGAAATCGTTACCAATGTCCATTTCGAAGTTTGATACCTTTGGACGTCCAAAGTTTCGTATCAGGTACACTGACGTCGACGAAAAAAGTACGTCGACATTTGTCAACGCATTCAGAGTTTTAAACGTGTAGTTTATATATTATACTTTTAATTTAAACAATGATTTAATTATTAGTTCGTTGAAGTTGTTAATAGCTTTAATAGAATGCAATGAATTGGTTAGATTTCCCCGATGAAAATGAGTCCAAACGCGACCCTGATCGGACTATTTTTAATTTTCAAACAAATTTCCGAAAAACGATTTAAATGACGTGAAATTAAAAATAGTCCGATTATGGTCGTGTTTGGACTCATTCTCATCTGGGAAGCATTGCCAATCCAACTATTACGATGGATTTGTACTATATTGTTTTAATTTAAACAATGATTTAATTATTATTTCGTTGTATTTGTTAATAGTTTTACAGACTAGATGAATTTTGGGCATGTTCTTGATAATTGTCGGTCAACGAAAGAATTATTATTTAGAAGGAATATATATGATTAAATCGAATCATTCTGGATCTGATAGAATGCAATGAATTGGTGAGGTTTTCCCGATGAAAATGAGCCCAAACACGACCCTAATCGGACTATTTTTAATTTCAAAAAAAATTTTCGAAAATCGATTTAAATTACGTAAAATTAAAAATAGTCCGATTATGGTCGTGTTTGGACTCATTTTCATCGGGGAAACACTGCCAATACAACTATTACGATGGATACAATAACAAATATAAAAATTGTTATTCGTGTCGAATAAATGAAAACAGTGGCGGGGCCTCCTTCCTTCCAGTACAGGTGAAAATTAGTCATACAAGCGGGGATTACTGTACAGCGTGTCGCGAAAAAACGGAAACCTGAATCTCTGACTCGGTTCGTAATAAAATTACAAGTAATCTCGTTTAGTAGATAACACAGAGCAAAGTGTGAATTAATTTAATTTGAATGCATGTACCTGGCCACAGGCAGTGGTGTAGCTCTAGGACTTGGCGATGGCACCGGGGAAACACTACTACTACTGGGACTGTCCGAGTGTAATGAGCCAGTTGATTGGTAATGAACCGACCTTCTGAAAGTGAAATTAGTTTCACCTCATCTGTCTTCGACATTAACACCTTCGTCGCCGGTAAAAAAAGAACTTTAATCGCGAACCAACGATGTACAGGGCGAACCAAAATCGAGCATTTTAAAATTAAATATCTTTACGGTAAAAATATTTTCACGGGCTGCCAGTTTAAAAAATTCTAAATTTAGAAATTTTCATGGGACTTTGAAAATTTTTTTATTTTTTATTTGTTTAGATAAAATAAATTACATTTTTTAAATTGCACGTTGATCAAAAAAATTCAAGTCAAGTATGTGGAAATGAGTTTAAAGTGCCGATATTTTGAATACCGACCGTCGGTAATTTTAAGATGGCGATAGGAATTAATCCATCCGAATAAAGTGGCCGGTTCCACTTGACGGGAAAGGTCAATTGGAATCCGCGAACGCATCGTTGTACGTATAAAATTAGCGAGGTCATGAGAAGATAGATCTCCCCGTACCATTCAACTTTTCCCTCTATCATTATTTTCTGTCTTCAACGAAACTGGCAGCACAGCCCAACCCAATTGCGTGACGCATTCTGTGTAATCTATTTGCGTTCTGAATAAGGAGAATGAGCCACAAGAGAGTTTAGACGACCAAGTGAAATACCCGCGGCGACGAACGAGTTAATGGGTTTGTAGTATATGTCACACACTTTGAACGCTATAAATCATAGTGTAGCCAAGGGATAATTAATTTGCGCACATGACAAAATTAGTAACTTGGAGAATTGCACAAAAACTCGACGAATTATTCGCAAGCCCTTTCGTTAATTCCACTGGCAACAATTAATTAAGTTAATTAAATAATTCTTGTGACAATTAATTACTGTAAAATTTTGAACGCAATGCATACAATTTTTAATCGGTTTAGACTATTATTTGTAAAAAAATATTTATATATTAATAAAATAAATAAATGAACAATTTAACATTGCATTCGAAATTTTATGATAATTATCCACGGTAGTTTTTCCTTTTTTTTTAATATACACACACTTACGGACGATAGTCGAGAAACAAATTGCACAGGTGCGTATTTTTAGACACAGCGTGGTTTTCCAACACAGTGAACACATTTATTAGTTGCTACTGAATTACTTACATTATCGCACGCATGGAACGATGGGAACTATACCGAATGTACAATGAATTTAATTAATATATCAAACCTCGAAAACGTGACAAAAATTAAGAAACATTTTAAATGTTTTTTAACTTTTCTCCGTAAGTGTATATATACGGTCTACGTAGATGCCATCGAGGCTCGAGACGCGCGAAGTTGTTGCAAGGAACAAGTACCTTTGAGGAAGCTGCGACGAATGAGTATAACTGACCGGTCTTCGTGGACTGGACATAGGATCCCTGACGTCCTGAGAAGATCCCGAGGACGAAGAATTCCTCAGGCAGGAGCCGCCAGTCTGGCGTAAGCGTATGTCTTTTTGGGGCACCGAGTTTTGATTACCTAGGGACACAGGAGCATTAAATAGAAAAATAATTATCATTTAAAAAGAATATTTAATTAAATTCAATTATTCTGAATTTCATAGTGCTCGATGGATCAACGAGGTTTCCCCGATTAAAATGAGCCCAAATACGACCTAGTTTGGACTATTTCTGATTATCAAAAAAAAAAATGTTTAAAAAACGATTTAAGCGACATATAAATGAAAATATTCCAATTAGGGTCGTGTTTGGACTCATTTTCATCGGGAAAACACCGCGAATCTATCGGTAAGAGTATCACGAAGATAACGAACATAAAAATTGTTATTTTGAATCGTGTCGAAACTCGAATATTTGGATAGCAATGAACATTTTCTGTGCTGGGAAGGATTCGTTCGCCGCGAGCCTGGCGTACTTACTTCTAAGCGGTACGTGTCCATTCCTTAAGGGCGAGGACACCATTCTCTCGTTCCTCCTCTCGTTCCTCTCGTCCTCTCTTTTCTCGCGTCCTTCCAGCTGGGCGATTCGCCTTAGCGCGTCCGCGAGAGTAGCGCGAAGACAAACTATCTCGTCTCTCTGCGCCAAGGATTGCCTCTCGAGGTCCGTGACTCGGCCCAACAGGGATCCGGTCTCGCACTCCAGCATCTCGTCTGTAAAAGGGAATTCTCGTTTAACGCGCGAAACACACAGAAGGACGTCCTATGACTCGCGAAACTTTATGGAATTCTCTCGAGCTGTAAACATTCGAGGGATGTTCCATAAAACCGAACAAACTATCGAACCTAGGCCTTGGGGGAACCTTAGAACGGTTGTTTCGAATTCTTACGTCGCGATTCTTAAATCAAAACGGCAACTGATTACCGAGCAACGTCCTAAAAAAACACCGGAGTCACGCAACCGGACAATTCGAGAGGTATCGGGTTTCGTGCTTAAGGTTATATAAATCGTCTTCGTTAGGTTGGTTTGTTTTGGGATTCGATGCATCGAGCGTGCACGGTATCTTTTTCCAGCAAAAGTAATAAAACTTGTACGTGCCACGGATCATCAAAAAATGTTAATTTAAGAAGGTAGTCTAATTATGCAATTTTCAGACATTTTATACTTATTTTTTTACAAAGAAAACTGTAGGTTGGTTTATTTTGGGATTCGGGATTATTTTCGGTTGTGAGGGTCAATTACAATCATTTTTGGTCATTACACATACCCCCGAAATCCTATTCACTTTCGAGAACAAAATTCGGTAAGTGGACCAATTTTTTGTCGAAATTAAAAAATTTCAAATCATTGTAAAAAAATTATTTTCGGTTGCAGTGGTCAATTACAATCATTTTTGGTGAATAAACATACCCCCGAAATCCTACCCAATTTCTAGAAAAAAATTCGAGAAGGTGTGTGTTTTGAATATACATAGTATTCTTTTTCAAGCAAAAATAATGAAAATTGTACGAGCTACAGATCATCGAAAAAAGTTAATTCAAGAATGTGTTTTAATGTAGGCATGCAATTTTTGACTCTTTTTAATTATTTTTGGAAAGTTAACCATCGAAGAATCGTGATCGCCGCCATGATGGAAATCCGCAGAATGAATTAAGGGTTTCCATTCTGGCATAAACAGTATTCTCTCACTGCTAGTTACTTAAGCGTCCGGTACAGATAAGAAAACAACACAACCGTGAGCTTCGAGTATGGAATGCGCTTAGGAACGACATTTACGACGTATGGTGTACGGTAATATGAAAGTGTCGTATCTTGGAAGAATGTCATACGTTATGGGCACTTTTTTTCTTATCCCGCGACTGCTTCTCGTGTCGTGCTGCAAGCCACGTAAAACGAAGAAGCAGATAAAAAAGAGAAGCAAACGCAGAAGGAGAAAGATACACGAATCGGATAACCTGTACGATGTTTTAAGAAACACGAAACCAGAACACCCCTATCTTATGCGCCTTTGACAAAAATAAATATCTACTCTAGCTACAAACAATTCTATTTTACGTAAATAAAAAATTAAATATTGTTACAGTTTAACGTTCCTCTATTTCTAACACGTTCACTGCCAGATCAAAACTGTATAATTTTCAGCAAAAGTAAAATTTTAATTTTGGACCATTGTAAGCTACATAACCTAAAATTTGTTTGAGTACTTATTTTCGTAACCTTGTTAAAATTTTGTATAATTCTTGTCCATTCGATATTACTTGACAAATGAAATTAATATTGAACTAATTCAACAAAGAATTTTGAATAAAATTATATTAAAATTTCTCGATCGTGAAAAACGTCATCCAAAGTATATGCAAATGGAAACGAATCAGATAAGGTGTTCCAATTAGGAACAATAATACGGATCAACCTTCGAACTATGTTACGCGTGCAAACATGGAAATCTGGGTCGCTGAATCGTACGTATACAAGTAAATAGGCAACGAATTATTTCTGAGTTTCCTTTGTCTTTCCCAATAACACGCTTTCGCAACTACGCGAACATTTTTTATTCCCACGAAGAACCACCAATCGTGTACAACGCGAATATAACAAAATTTTAAGCCAATCGAATATACCTGAGTTTTCAAAAACAAAAAAAAAAAAAAAACAAAAAAAATTTAATACGAAAAAAAACAACCCACTTTGAGACAAATGCATTTAAATCTCCAACGCAAAATCGGGCAAATTCTCGATGATTATTTTCAAAATGACGCTTGGAAAGAAAAATTTGTAAAAATAATTTTGAAAAATTATTTAGTGCAGGAAAGACATTAGGTCTGAGTTAGGTCTGGGTTAGAGCAAATTTAATTCTCGATGACAATTTTCAAACCGGCACTTGGAAAAAAGAAAGTAAAAATAATTTTGAAAAATTATTTAATGTAAAAAAAGGCGTTAAAAAATGCAGCAATACTCACGCCACGCCTGCTCCGCTTCATCGATGGTGTCCATCGTGTCCGGCGTGGACATTGCGATTAACCTCTCGCGATGACCCCGACGTATTAATACGTTATTCAATTGAACTGATTAACCAGCGCAAACAGAGCCAATGCGCTGTCTCGCACCATGTCTCCCCGTCCGGAATGACTTTTCTTACGCGCGACAAAACGACCACTGCACGATAAACCTAACCAATTATCACGCTTAATTGTTTCGATAATAATTCGCGATTTTTTAGAGTCCGCTCGATAATCGATCCAGTCTCGGCGACGAACGATCGATGTTTTTCGTTCCTCGACGCATGGCTCGCTCTCTGTTCCGAAAAGACAATGTTCATAAAAAAAAAAAATCGATAATCGTGTTTCTCCGAGTCGTCTCGGTGCTTGTGAGAATTAAGGCGTGGCCTTGGACATAAAAATATTCCGGGACGATCTCGCGCGTGCGTTTGCACCTGGACAAACACAACAAACTGTTTTTCGTCGTCGATACGGAAACCGAGAATTTTATCGGAAGGAAATCGATCGATCAAGAACAGTTGGTAAATAAAAAAAATTCCCTGGAAATAGATCGTTCTACGAGTGATTTAAAAATTTGGTCAAAGAGCGTGATTCGCTGCGCCAACGACTGTGAGAGTATCCTCGATCGTGGCTAATTAACAGGATGCAATTAATGCGGGGAAAGTTCGGCGTCATTGAATCCGGAGAGGTTCCCTAATGAACGCGACACAGCGATCGCGAGTTAGGAGGATGGCATCGTTTCTGGAAACCAACGAGAACGTGAATGAAAGGCGAGAATTCATTGAAAGTGAAACGTGCACGCAGCCATTACGGATCGCGATAAACAATTTCTACGTAGCACGCCACGCGACTCGCCGGGCTATGTTGTGACTGGGAACATTGGGCGTCTCTGAAGGTCCTTTCAATACGAACTGTTTCAGGCATAACAAGAAAAATTCTATCAAAGCAGTTTTCGTTTACGTTTAACACGTTCACTGCCAGATCAAAACCGTACAATATTCTGCAAAAGTAGAATATTGATTTTACACCATTGTAAGCTACATAACCTAAAATTTGTTTCGGTATACTTATACAGGGCGTTCGGCCAGATCTGGGAAAAATTTTAATGGGAGATTCTAGAGGCCAAAATAAGACGAAAATCAAGAATACCAATTTGTTGATTGGGGCTTCGTTAAAAAGTTATTAACAATTAAATTCAAAAATTTCAAATCGTTCCGGAAAAATTATTTTCGGTTGCTGGGGTCAATTACAATAATTTTTGGTGAATAGACATACCGCCGAAATCCTGCGCATTTTCGAGAAAAAAATTTGAGAAGATGCCTAAATTTTTCGACGAAAAAGAAATATTTCAAATCGTTCTAAAAAAATTATTTCTAGGTTCTGGGATCAAATACAACCATTTTTGGTGAATACACATACCCTCGAATTCCTATGCATTTTCGAGAAAAAAATTCAGAAAGGTGGACAAATTTTTCGGCCAAAAGAAAAATTTCGAATCGTTCTAAAAAAATTATTTCTAGGTTCTGGGATCAAACACAACCATTTTTGGTGAATACACATACCCCCGAATTCCTACGCATTTTCAAGAAAAAAATTCGAGAACATGCCTAAATTTGTCGATGAAAATAAAATTTCGAATCGTTCTAAAAAAATTATTTCTAGGTTCTGGGGTCAAATACAACCATTTCTGGTGAATACACATAACCTCGAAATCCTGCGCATCTTCGAGAAAAAAATTCATTACGAGCTGAACTTTAAACGTTAATAACTTTTTAACAAAGCCTCCATCAACAAATTGATATTCTTGATTTTCGTCTTATTTTGGCCTCTAGAATCTCCCATTAAAATTTTTCCCATGGTTGGTCGAACACCCTATATATTTATTTTCGTAACCTTGTTAAAATTCACAAATTCTATCCAATTTTATTTCCCTCAACGTCTTAACGTGAGAATTAATTTTTCTAGTAAATCTTGTCAATATATTGGTGACGTGGCAGTCAAAGTGTTAAAAGTCGAAAGTTTAAGTTTCCTTGTTACGAGATCCTGAAATATTTGCATTAGGACCGCTTAAAAAATGGCGATAAGATAAGAATGCAAAATTTGTTATCTCATCACTTTTATAGGCATTATCAAAGCAAAATAATGTTTTTGTTGCTTGCAATATGAACTCGCGTAATTCTCGAAATATAAGAAAATTGAATAAATCGATAATTTTAGCTTTCTCGATTTTTAAAGAATTTTTTCTAATTTAAAAAGAATTATCGGTTTTAATCCAATATGGCGGAATGGACAGAATATAGTGGACGTTTTGCATTATTGAACAAAGTCCTTGAATATTTCATTTCAGGAAAAATATATTACCCCGAATGTAACGTTATATGCGAGATATTTATAATTTAATAGGGGCACGTATTCCCATAAATGATTTTCCTCGAAATTATTAAATTCCTTTGTCGGAATACACACGCCCGTGACATTCACTGCGTATCATAAATTTCAGAGACGCAATAAAGCTTCTGGTATCGATTGAATTTTTTAAACCGAGTATCAATTTAAAAAAACTGGCATATTTGTTTTTCGTACATTTAAAAATTCGTGCGTAGCGTCGACAGAAAAATTTATAACCTTTCATTCGTCAAAATAGTCCATCAAATAAAAATAAAAATACATAGGTAAAAATAAAAATACAAGAGAGAAATAAAAATACAAGAATA